TATATATATATATATATACCTTCCAATGTCTGACGTAAAATCTGAATAAATATTTCAGAATTTAGGTCCACGAGGATATTGGAGAGATTTTTCTTTCTTGGATTTTTTCAACTAGTTTCACTCAACAAAGAAGACGGTCTCTGACAGTCCTCAAATAGTAATAAAAATAAAATAATAATAAAACTTACAACATAATAACTAATTGTGAATACTGTATAACCCTTTTTTTAATCTTTGGTAAAACAAAGTCATGCCTTATATTACAAATAAATCTTTTTTAAATAACCATTTTTTTTTATGTTTCTAATTGTATTTGGACAATTTATTTTTGGTGATTATCCAAAAGTCTTTGCTGTTGGAAGGCCTCTCTGTCATCACCATAATCTCTCCTCATCCCCTCTACCGGTAGCTCAGGGCTCCATTTGTCCACACCCTAAAATACAAAAACATAAATACCTGTTTTTTACTGTAAATAAGAGCCATTGATGTTTGTCACATTGCATACTAGTGACAATTGTGGTGGTAGTAAAATATATTGTCATTTCCCAGTTGTTTATCTGAATTTTACTGTATTTAGCCATTTAGTTACGCATGTATGTTTTAGCTCACACATTCCTGCTCCTCTGTCTCAATCCGTTTTTACTTTTATACCATATTAATGAATGTTTGCTTTTATGTGTACACCTTTTTTGAAAACATTAAATAAATTACTTCAGTATCTATTCTTCTAAGTTGTTTACAGTTTTATGTTCAATGTGTAAACTACACATTTCATCATATTTAAAAATGTTTCTTGTAACATTTTATGACATATTCTCTTCTATGAACTTGTAAATGCTTAAATTTTCCTTTAAATATATTTTCATAATTTCAAAAGTAAATTAAATATACTGAACCATTGCAAAGCAAAAATCATGTTTTATGCATTTAGCAGATGCTTTAATCAAAGTTGACAGATTGTTACAATGAGGTAGGCCTTAGTTGCCAACTGAAGCATGCCGGCAGTTCATGCCCTCTACCAGGTATTCAAACCGGGGTCTCCTGTGTGCAAGTCAGGCGAATTATCACTTAAACTACCCAGCCGCTAAGGGGAAAGACACATGGCAAGGGAGCACAGGCCAGATTCGAACCCGGGTCGGCCACGTCGAGGATTAAGGCCTCCCTACATGGGTGCTTGGCCCACTATACAAAATAGATTAATTCAATTCATATCCAGAAATAAATAAAAGGAAAGATCCCTTTAAATTCTTGCAGTGGTGAAACATGTCCTCTGTATTTAACACATCTTTAGGGAGCAGGTCCTGCCGCACTAGTTAGATCTTCCTGGGGTTAATGGTGTTGAAGACTTTCGCCCAGAGTCTCAGTTTCAAGCCCGGGCTTTTGTGGTATCTCAAGGACGCAAACGCCCTGCTTTCTAACGATTAGACCAACACTCTAGTAATATAAATTAATCTAAAACCAGGACAATGTAATATTATAAAAAATGTAGATATTGTATCCATTCTAGTTCAATCCAATTTATAAAACTGAAGTCAAATTGATCTTATACAGTATTACCAATTGGTACATATTAATCTAAATGCACCAAGTTCCCAGTTCCGTAGGAATCCTTCTTAATGAGTTATAGGTGTTACAAAAAGGGGGGGAAAATCCTTTGCAAATATATTGGCAGAACCAGGTCACTGTGAGTGATCTACTGTACAACCCAGGTTTGAGCAGAACCACAATAGCAAATAAGAGTCAGGGAGTACTTTTAAAAAACTGTATTCAGTCAATAGCAGCAGTATCTCTCTTTATGTCCTCTTATAGAAAAGAAAAACAGCTAAACAGAGAACGTATGAATGTAAATGTAAGTACATGAAGTTAGTCACAGCAGAGATATAAGTTTGACCAGCAAGGATGATAGTTTCTGGAATTACTGTTAGCAACTATGCCCCCTCAGCTGCCACTACATTATATTGCTCTTTCCCTCCACCTGCCCCTAGAAAAAGTAATACAGTTATACAGGATAAAACAAATAAACTTTCATGCAGAGAAAATTAGGAGGTTTTAAATCAAAGTTGCTGCAATAATAATTGTAAATAATGTATATGTATATATATATATAGAAAGCTCAAGAAGCTTTTTAACATCAAAAGTCACAAATGGCTCCTCCAGCGGCCCACAACTGCTTTATTCCAAAGATTGCTTAGGATACCTTAAGTGTTAACAATATAAAATGTATTTAAAAAATTACAATATTATGCTTATAATTTCAATATAAGATTGTACTTTTGGGAAACAATTTGGGACAATAACATTTTAAAAAGGCATACATGCTGAATTATTATCTCCTGCTCTAGAAGGTTGGATCAGACGAAGGCTTTTTACAAAGTCCTAAAATGTAAACAAATCCTAGAATTTATTCCTTATCCTACAACAATTTTTAAGTACGACTGACAGACAGATTTTTTTGTACAAAAATCCAGAACATTAATCATCACTAACCCAGTACTAGGACACCACAATTTGTGGCATTGGTATATGTACGTGGAGAGAACCCACACATGCACAGGGAGAAAATACAAACATGCAAAGTCCATGCAGAAAGACCTCAGGCTGGGAATCGAACCCAAAACCTTCTTGCTGCAAGGAAACAGCGCTACAAACTTCCCCATCGTGCAGCTCTGTTGTGTTTTGAATTTGGATGCATTGCTGGGGAATATTACAATTGCTGATGATCACATATTGTAATAGAAAAATATTCAATAATCCCTAATTGGTAAGAACCTCTGAATTTGACAAAAGGATAGAGTGAAGAATGATTGCAGTCTTAAAAGTTTTGGTAACATATCCTTTCACTACGAACAGAATGATAGGATATAAAAAGCAACCTCCTCCAAATCATATGCCATGAAATAAAAAACAACTTCTAAAAAAAAAGCTTTACAGAACAATGGAATAAGATACTATGCTTTATGATTGCTAATTCTTATAGTTGCAGCCACAGGCATTAAAATCTTAAAAGTTTCATATGATATAATGGATGATCCACTAGGCTATGAAGTCATTAAACCTAAGTGCAGAGGCTGAAACAAGCGGTGATGATTGACCTCAGAACTTAAACAGGCAAATTTACAAATATATTTAGTCATATTAAATTTGAAATGTACTTTTACTCTTATTAAAACACAAACAAATGAACACAGGCTTTTTTTTTAATAGAACAATTTCTAAGAACTGCAAAAGATGGATTTTACAAATCCAAATACAATTTACAGCAAATTTTTTTTACTAATTTAAATAATGACCATTCTGTTTTATAAAGTGAATAAATTATTATATAAGGATTTTGGAGACATGTTAACTGAATTGTCTTTTTTTTTAATTTTTTTTAAATAAGCAGACATGCATTAATCATTTTTCATTAGAAACATTTTTGATGGTTAAAGATAGAGAGTAGTCAGCAGTGTAGAGAGTTCTTCTTCTCCCAGGATGATGTTACCACTTTACAGCTGGTCATGGATGCCTCTGCATGGCCCAATTTTAGTGCCTGTTTTCTGGTTCCCTGTTAAAACAGTTGTGAGTTTTATACAACCTGTATGATTAAGAAGTAAAGTAAATCAGACTTTGTTAATCCAGTAAAACTGAATATTGAAAGTTCAGCTTTTCTTGGGGCCATTGTAAACAATCTCAATAGTTTGGGCAGTAGGCTCCATCTTGTATTAGTCTGAAAGTAAATGCTTATTAAAGCATGACTTCACACCACCCTGATACTGAACGTTCAAAAAGTTATGTATCTGTGAAGCTCTACTCCTGAGGAATAATCACGCCTCATAAGCATGAAGCTCTGGCATCGAGGATTGGAGACATTTTTAAGAGCTAAAAAATCAAACTGCATTACATTCCATGGCATGAAGTGTCAGTGGCCTTCACTTCAGCTGATCAAATCAGGTAATTTGGTTTAAGCTGCTCTTTATTCTGGAATGACAAAGTCTACGCATATACAAGGGTTTGTCTCCATGGTGTCACGCTGATGAATTATAGGCACAACCTGGTAAATATTCAGAACGCTCTTAATGCCTCCCTTCTGCACTTTGCTGCCAGCCAGATACATGAGACACCCATTCCTCCTTTTAAGGCTTTGCTAATGTGGGCAATGGATATTCTTATAGGATACAGGTTCAAAAGAGGAAAGTCTAATAATAGCTGTGCAATGAAAACAGTTATGAAGCAAAGGAATTCGGACAACAAACGCCAAGCTTCGTGTCAAAAGGTAGGTTTGAACAAACCTGAAACAACTTACCAGGTGACGAACTTGAAATGGTGGTGTTTAAAGGGCTCAAGGTGAGTTTCCCTTAAAAGACGAGGACAGGACATTATTTTTACTCTGGGTAAAATGTTAAAACTTCTGCTCAACCTGCTCAATTAAAGCTACAAATATATGATCAAATTTGAACTGGGCAGATTAGTAATAAGCAGATTGTAAATCTTCAAGGATTAAAGCGTTGTTAGGAAATTTTAGCCTGGGTTGTGCTTCAGTTTTGCACTCAGAACAAGACATTAAACCTTCTGAGCTTCTGAACACATAATGCAAATATATACAACAGCAGCTGTCTCCTTAACATCAATGTATTCCTCTGTTCTGGAAAATAAAAGGTGTAATTGAAGGGAAATGTTACCTGTAGGACTGCTGCCTGGGGTGGTTTACCAGCTGCTGCCTGCTTGTCCCAGCCTGGAGTGTCAGAACGGCAGGTTCATGCTGAGCCTCACTCGACCCCCCCTTCCTACAAATGGAAGGAACAGGCACCATGGCAGTCCAAAAATAAACACGGAGTCTTGTGGGTTGCTCAGTAGCAGCAGCAAAATTGTGACAGCAGAGAAAGACGAAGCAAGATGTAGCTGATAGGCCAACACCCCAGTTTTTACAACTTCAGAGCTCTAGATGAGCACTGAAGGCCATCTAGGGGTCCTTGTAGGGTAGAATAAAAAAATAAAAATAAAAAAAAGACAACAGGAAGCAGGATCAGTCAGAGCAGTTATTGAAATAATTCATCTCAAGACGTATTCAGTGATATACAATTTTAAACACTCAAAGTTCATTTGAACCAAATTTGGGTCAATTTAAATCAACTTGATGAAGAAAACCAAAGGTCTCATTTAGTCAGCCCTAAAGTCAGAAAAATATTTCAGTTTTCTTGCAACTATGATTGTAGCAAAACACTTTACCATACAAATTCAAACCAATTTATTTATATGGCAGCAGCAGTATGGCACAATTTGAGTTATATTAAATGCAAATAGAAATTACCTTTAATGTTGCAAAGGCATATCAATGGCAAAGCAAAAAGGAAAATGAAAGCAAGACAAATTCAAAAATTATCCGAAAAGACGAAAAAAAAAACAAAAAAACAAGACTAATAAACAACAGACAATAGATTAACGAACTTACTCCAGTAAGAAAAACACACCATTACAAAGAAATACTGTCCAGTTACCATTATGGAATTTTTAGATTTCAGCCTCAGCAGATAGCCGCTCACACTGAGCCTGCTTCTGTATCGAGGTTCCTTCCTGTTAAAAGGGAGTTTTCCTCTCCACTGTCGCTGCAAGCATGCTTGGTGTCAGGGATTGCTTTCAAGTTGCCTTCAAGTCAATGAGGTACTTGCATACGAGCAACTCCTCTAACCACTATGCCAACACTCCCCTATTTATTCAGTGGATTGCTGATAGACCACAAAAACTAAAGTCATTTTTGGCACATTATCAGATGTGTGTATACCTGTCTAGCCCTCAGAGCAAGGAGCATTTTTCCAAGTTCACCCTGAAATTGAGGACCAGTTGTTGCAAAATGAGGACATTTTGCCAGTCCTCACATGCAATTTTCATACTGAATGTGCATTGTGATGTGCATATGTTTTTACCATAAATTATGAAACAGCAAGTGGGTGACAATGTGATGACTTTGTCTTGGTTTTAAAAGTCTGAAGTCCCTCTGAAATTGGGAACATCATCGTTGTTCGATGCTGTAGTGCACGTATTGTTTACATTCCGACCAGTCGAACCAAAGAGCACCAATATGGCGGCATAGCACCATGTACTACCAACAACCTATCAGCAGTCCAGTGAATAATCAGTGGTTTAGCCTTGCTGCAGCAAAGACACATCTAAAACATGCAGGACAAACCGAGTCTGCACACCAATGGTGTATGGAGACAGCTTTGAAAAGCAAATAAGTTCTGATGGAGACTTAGTATTTTTGAAGTTTTTTGATGGGTTATCCTTTTCATTACATCCAAACTGGCCTTCTGTAACTATTTTTTATGCTGAAAAAAATGTAAATCTAAATAATTCATTTTGTCTTAAAATAAGTGCATTTTTTCTTTTTTATTAGGTAAGTGAGACAATTTACCATTGCAACAAGACAATTTAAGCTTTAAAATAAGAAAAAAAAACAAAAGTGTTGTCTTATTCAAAGTGCATATTTTCTACTTATCTATTTGAAGAGGGAAAGAAAACTAATTCCATTGACAAATCATCTTATTTCCCCTGTTGAATTTAGGGTAAATACACTTAAAATAATTGGTTACTTATATCTACTTTGTTTTGGCTGTGTGTGTTTTTGTTAGACAAATGTACCTTTTACTGCTGAGTTGATCCAGAGGCTATTGACATAATTCCTGGCTGCTACTGAAATAAGCATTCAGAATAATATATAATTATAAAGTTAATTGTCGTGGGGAAAGGGTATTCAACTATTCACTCCAGTTATATAAGCAGAGATCAATGGATTTCACTCAGTCGACATTTTATTTACTTTGCAAAGTAAAAAGAGAATAAGACAACAGCCCTCACAGCATCATGTTCAGCCCAGCTCTGAGTAGAGACCGTTTGTCTCTCACTAATTAACCCTGCAGAAAGGTTGTGAAGATCTTCAGAAATCTTTAGCCAAACAAAAACAGTTGAGGTACAGTCCACTTTGTTATGAGAAGCATTCTTTTTATCCCAAACACTCCCTAATAGAATAATCACCCCCTTTCTGTCAGGGTTGGTGGATATTGTAGTGGACCCAAATGTAGAGTAGAAAAGGCAGAGATGATTACTTGATTACATAGTCCAGAACCCATCAACAAGAAAAGTCAAGAACCAAAAAACTAAGAGACACTAGGGAGGAAAG